CGAGGAAAGCGCATACCAGTTCCGTTAAAATTTTGCTCCGCTTTTCCAAAATGGCAGTGGAAAGTGCTCTGGCGTTGCTGCAAGCCTGGTTGTGGCGCCACAATGCGCAACGCGCGTCTTGTAACCTCAAAAAATCACAATAGTTCGGTGACTTGCGCGTTGAATTGTGAGTGAGCAAAAAACGTATGTAGTTGTGGCAACCGGCGGCAGTTCAGCTTGTTGTTGTTCGTTTTATGGTCGCGACAATACGACATAGAGGCCAGCTGCTGACACGCGTATGCGCTGCTGCGGTTGAGAGTTGGCTATAAAAATGCAAAATTCTGTAAAGGGTTGCCGAGTTGGTAGGAATTTTGGTTGAAATAAAAAAAAATTGACGACAATGAAAAATCAAACCAAATAATTTTATTTATGAGTTTACGAAGATTTATATTTTTTTTAGTTGGTGGCTTTAAAAAATATTTTTTCACAGAGAAATTTAAAAATTTGCTGAGCTTTTACGAATTATTTCCAGACGAACTTGTAGGAGGTGAAGTTGTCACATCATACGATATCTTGTTCTGTCTTCCATTTCAACAAATCACACAAACAAAATGCATGGGAAATAGTTTTTGACATTACGAAGTTTCTATTACACCAAAAAAAAAAATGAATTTCAATTTTGTTTTCTGACTTATAGGGTTTTTGTTTTTGTATTCTTGAGACTACCGTGAGTGAATTCGCCCTGAATTTTGTATTGAGAAAAATTCAGAATTTGCCATAGAATTTTTTCACAATTATTTCCGTCACGGAAACATTTCCCACAACTTGGCAACTCCAAAAACCCGTTAACGCATATTTGTTGCTGTTATTGTTAATAGTGAACGAAAATCGTTAATGGTGAAAGAATCAATGAAGTCCCGAATGCAGCGAATTGGCAAACAGGAATGCAGAGTAAGCGAAATTCCAGACAAAATGACAACATTTCCTAGCTGCAACGTGATGTGGCATGCTGCAAACATACACATATTCATATACATATACATATATTTACAAGAAAGGGAATAGTACAAACTGAGGTTAGTTGTGTTCATTAGACTGGCACAGACAGTGGGTTGAGACGCTGACGGAAATGGGCGGGTGTAGCTCGGGGTACCTTCAATAGATATTTTTTACATACCTTTATATATATGTACATACATGTATGTTCATATGAGAAAAAATTTGAAAAAATAAAAAAAAAAACTTTGGGAACTTGAAAATTAAAAATCACTTAAGCCCAAGGCCGTCTGGCCGGTTGCATAGCTACACACTTACTCTCTCACACACACACATAAATACTTATTCTGTATTCCATGTACATGCACATGCTGCGTTAGACTGGCAGGAGAGTATTAATTTTTAATGCATTAATTATTTACTAAATCAGTTTTCTTACACCAAAGGGCCAACTTGCCTACGGCTTCCGGTCGCTCTTTAAGAAGTCGAAACGATTTTTAAATGAATGACTTACGAAATTGTTGTACAACGTTCACGGTTAAAAGTAGGAAAGCATTTGATAATTGAAACCAAATAACTTTTGATTGTAATGCCAGTGAAGAGGCAGGGAAACTTTTGGTGGTGTGAGAAAATCAACGAAAAACGTAAATTTTTAAGAAATTCCAGAAAAAAAAGTAAACAAAAAAAAAGAGCAAAATGCCGACGCTTTGAGCCACGAAAAATCATGTTTCAGACTCAGTAATGGTTTTCCAGTGGCAAACACACAAGAAGGAAATCAAAGTAGAAAGGTGCTAAAAAGTAAAAACACTCTTCGCTAAGTGCAACGCCGGCTTGCTTTTGCGGCATCTTCAGAGATCTTTTATGCAGTAATAAATCATAGAGACCTCAACCTCAGTCTCAACCTTAGGCGATGCACAAATACTGAAAATGAGTAAGAAAGATTTCAACTTCAAACGTCAGCTGTTAATAAGTTTTCTATCGCTTGTTATTGTTGCTTTTAACTGGAGAAATGCGGCAGAGGAATGCACAAAGAACGGTTACTTTAGATGTGAAACTTTGTTAGACCAAGGCGGGGAGTTCAGGGTGAGTCACTGCAAGTGAAACCAACAAACAATGAAATGCTTTTGATTTGTGCTCGGAGCTGCGCTTTCAAAGAATTTGGTGAGATTAATGGATGAGAGAGAAGAGTGTGAAGAGTGCGCATTTTTTGAGGACGTCAATAGCAGACTGCTTCGTATGGATTTAAGATTACTGCGCCTGCGAATAGAACACTGAAGCGATTAGCTTTGTTGCGTGTGCTTATGGATTTTTTGATTTCTTCTTAATTCAGCTTTAAGCTCAACTCGAGCTCTATAACAGCGTTTTAACCGGTTTTTATCGATACAGTTAGAAAACAACAATTCGCACGGTACAGAAACGATATTTTACGGAAATCAATGAAACTTTTCGTACTTGTAATGTCGCACGGAACCGGTTTTATTTAAGAATCGAGATGAGTTCCACGCACATGAGGATAATTTTTGATCAATGTATCAATTGGAAGTACCCAGCATTATTATTCGTTCGCATGGCTCAAGCAACTCACTACTCCCGATCCTTCAGCAAGCATCATCTGAGCAGCTAAAGAATATCTGAGTCGGACAAGCATGAGGAGACTTCTCTATTTGGCAAATTTAACACGAGGAAAAACAATTTTCAGACCGCATCTTTGCCACAAAACCGACAACTACATTTGTATCCAAAGTTTTAGACGTGCGTTCCGAAGACCTAACATCGACTATTACAAGATACATTTAGCAGTTCATATAAGCTGGACCTTCTGGGGGAAATGGCCGTAGCTATACACTGTCTATAAACTATACTTTTCTAATTGATTCTATATTTTTCGCTTTTTTTATTTTATTTATTATTTTGATTTTATTTTTAATTCTTAAATTTTATTTTTATTCATAATTTTGTCTTATGCAATAATTCGCCATCTTAAATCATTTTTTTATGTAAATATTTATTTTGCCATCATTAGAGATTAATTTCGCTTTTTTTACGATTTCCTCAATGAAAAGAGAAAACTCAGTGCATACATATACATATACATTTATGTATGGATATATATACAGACATACGCTAATGAGACCCATTAGTTTTTTGGGCAAACATAATGAGTTCAACAAATTTCGTTTTTCCGGTTCACAAAAAAGCGAAAAATTAGATGTATAAGCAGATAAATAATTTAAATATTAGAAGCAGCAAAAAACAAGCCAGCGTATCTGTGGCCAGAACAACAACTAAACAAATAACACCAACGACATTTTGAGCACTCAACACTAAAAGCAAAAAGAAAAAAGAAAATGAAAGCCAAGTTTTTGCTTTAAAGCCCATCCGTAATGAATAACGGTACTTACAAACTTACTTACTTACTTGCGTGTAGCTTTCATTTTCACTTATGAAAAAAAACTCCATGTTTGGAAAATCTCAACTAACGAACTAACAAGCCGCACAAGTGGTCAACACCGCCGCCGAATAAGAGAGTCACCAAGACCGCCCCATAACTAACCTATGCTACTAAGCCAGCGAGCCAGCGAGGCAGTCAGCCACCAGCTCCGCGGTCAACAAGCGCCATCGTCAGCAACCGTCGTCCGAGCTGTGCATTAAGTCAGCAACTGATAAGCAGCGCAGAGACTAACAAGTGGGACTCACATTACAAAAACACTTTGACAGTTGATCGCGGAGGGTGGGCAGAGGTTACGGGGTACTTTTTTCCGCTTTTCGGTGCATAAATTGGTCTGTTTGCTTCGTGTGCACACTTTTCATAGCCGAAACTAACGAGGCAACAACAACAGCAAACAATAAGAAAAAAATTTAAGCCAAAATGAAAAATTAATGTATGAACACATATACTTCGGCTAGTTGTTGCTGTTGTTGTGGCTGCGCTTTTTATGGTTGCTGGTTGCTGGTCAAAAGCGTCGATTTTTCTGGCGTTCGCCCTCCAAAGCTCGCCACCGACAGATAAGACGCTGTCGCCACCTATGTTTTGTTATTGTTTTTGTATTATTTTTTCCATCTCTTACGATTCGTGGTCATATACATACATACACGTACGTATTTATTTATTTGAAGCTCTGAGGTGTCTGGGTCAGTAGTAACAAGTTGTTATTTGTTGTTTGTCTTTTTGTTGTTGCCGCTGCTGACTTTTGGCAAACAATTGGTTTTGTTGTTGTTAGTGGTATTCACCAGCTGTTCCGAGACACGCCACGGAAACTAATGACCTTAGCCACCAGCATAGTTTCGGACATAGTCATAGCCTCAGTCCGTCCGTTTCGTTCAGGTCCAAGCGGCAACAAATGACTTTGGCAGCCAAAACACACAAAAACACACATTCAAACAGACACACGAAAAGGAAATTAAAAATGAATTTGATTGAAAATAATAAAAATACCAACAGTTATTGAAGCAGGCAGCTGGTGTCTGAAGACTACAGCCGGAGCTCGGAGCTTTGAGCTAAGCAATTGGCATTTTGGTATTTCTTCTTATCAAAATTTCATGGATCGCATGGTGCCGGAGAAAAACTCTCTCTTTTCAAAGTTCACATAAGTCGACAGAAAAAACAACTGCAGTAACCTCTTTAAAAGAATGGGCGGTCGTATAAAATAAATAAATGAAATATTGACGCGCCGTTGTTGTTGTGGCGAAGAGTAATTGATTAGAAATTAGAGAAAAGTGAAAGACAATAAAGAATTAGTTTTGACAGAAGAAAGCGATATTTCAATAGCAGTGAAGGTGATTATTCTTTTGAAGTCGCAGGAGGGGGCGGAGACATTCACGCTTGATCTCGCTTATAGATTAGGGCAATCAGGTCAGGGTGGCGCCAGAAGAAAGTCATGCTTCCAGAAAAGACACAAAATGGGTACCATAACTGTGTTTTAAAATAACCTCTGATTTATTGTTCAGCATGCGACAAGACTCTCTCGTTTTCCACCTTTCAATTTACTAAAGACTTTTTAATTTAATTGTAAACTCCCACTCACCTTGTGGCTCTGTCTCCTCGCATGAGTGCTGCTCCTCTGAGGGTTCTTTGTTCTGCTGCCGTTGTTGTCGCAGCTCTTTCTCGCGCTGCACCTTCTGTTCCCGCTCTTTAAGCTCGATATCCGACCACGAGCAATGCACAGCACCGTCGCGATGCAAATTCAAGTGCTCAATGTCATCAGGTATTTCTAGATCATTGAAAATGTGCTTCTGCCCAGCAGCAGCCACCTGCCGGTAGAGCGTCATAAATTGATGGAGTAACGCCCAGGCCTGCTCTTCCGAGAGTGGTGATTTGAAGGAGTCCAAAATATTCTTCAGCGTCACACAATTCTCCGGATTTGTACAGAGGCAGACGGGCGGTGGCATAGGCGACGTTTGCTGTGGCATTGTGGAGCAGCCGTTGGCTGTTTCCGTGACGGCGCTATTGTTGCATTTGTTGCGTAGCATTTGCTCACCGTTATTGCTGTCCGGCGAGGTGGAGAGGAAACCTTCTTCGGTGTCGGAGTTTATGGTTACAATGGGTGTTGGCTTCTTCTTCACCTCCAAATTGGTGTAGGATTTAATGGTGCAAGTTTCACTGCCACTTACACCTCCACCGCCGGTGTCGTCCAGCTTTTGGCTGTTTGTATTGTTGTGATTGTTTTTAGTTATATTGTTGTTGTTTTCCTCAGTCATGTTAGTGATATGAGAAAACACTTTACTATTAGATCGAAGTAATTGCAATTAGTTAATTGATTAGTTGGACTGTTTAGTTGATTTGGTGAATCGTCGATTCTTAAGGGAATTCGGAGTTGTCGTTTTAGACGGTTCACTTTCACGGTTCACACAGATTCTTCGCTTGTACGCGTATACACAGACAATTTACTTTCTTCGACACAGAACTACACAAACATTTTATTTATTCAATAACAAATTTTTTTGACTACATTTTATAAATTTTCCAAATATGCATTATCCCTGGATGTCGTCCTTTTTAATCTGCATCAAAATTTTTTTTCAATAAATTTATTAGTCGTTGCGGTTGTTGTTGTTGTTGTTGTTGATGTCGGCGTTTCACTTACGCCTTTTGATGCTGCTGTCTTTCCGTTGTCAATTAAAAATGGTCGATTTGGTCGCTTAAGAATTTCTTCACCGCTTCTTGACGAATAAAAGAGAACAAAAAAATTTTCACAAAATCAAATCTCGTTTGGAATTAAAATGAAACTTTTGTAAAAAAAAAATAATAATTTTTGCTGTTATTTGACTGTTCACTGAACATAAAAACACAATTGAAATTGTTTGAAAAAAAAAAAAAAAATCTCCCAGCAAAAATAAACGGTGCGATAAAGTAGTTGTTGTTGTTGGTTCTTGTTTTAATCTTTCTTTTTTGCACTAGCTGTTTTGACAATTTAGATTATACTTCACTTGTGCATTTTAGCTTTATTGTTGTTTTGTTATTAATTTCCATTGGAATTGGTGTGATAGAGTCCGTTAGCTCATGTACATATGTATGATTCACGATGAGTTTCGTGAATGGCGTCTAAAGACGGGAGCGTTGTCTATTGCGAACGCCCTCCAGTGCAAGTTAGGTTGGGTGCAAGAAAGGAGACTTTTCATTTGCAAATTTTAACAATATATTATACAGAACAAAAAAATAAAATTAATTTAAATAAGATGCAAAAAAGTACATTATTTCATTCTAATTTTATTTTGTTTTACTATATTTTGTGTAAATTTAATTTATTTTGTATTTTATTTATTTTCCTTTTATTTTATTTTAATTTTTCAATTTATTATTATTAATTAAATTTTATTGTACTTGGTGTTTCTTCATTTCATCTAATTTAAATTAATTTATTCAATTTGTATAAATTTGTTTTATTTTATTTTACTTCACTTTAATTAATTTATATTAATTAAATGATATTTATTCAATTTAGTTTTATTTAATTTAGTTTTATTATATTTTTTCTTTTAGTTTACTCTTTAAATGTATTTTTCTCCCTTTATTTTCTTTTTATATTGTTTTTCTTCATTTTGTTTAGTTTAGTTTTATTTTATTTTATTGAATTTAAGTTTCTTATTTAATTTTACTTATATGATTTAATATTATTTTTGTTTTTATTCCTCTATAAATTTAATTTTTGATTTTAGCAAAAAATATTAATTTTTTATTTTAGTATATTTTAATTCGTTTATTTGATTTTATTTTACTGTAATTTAATTTATTGTAATATATTTCATTAACTTATATTTTATTTTATCTAATAAGTTGTTTTATTTAATTTTTGATCTATTTTCAACTGTTTTATTTTTTTTTTAAATAAAATTACTTCTATTTTATATATGTATGTAATAATATCAAGCCTGTTTTAAGTTACTACTGTACGAAGCAATTTTTGTAGTTTTATGTGAATTCTGAATTTTTTTTACATATATTTTTTCACTTAAATGTCCTTTTTAAACAATTTCACATTAAATTTATTGATTTTTCTTATGTCCGATGTCCTTGCTGCATTTAGACGATGTCCTTCCATAAGAATTTCATTGAGCTGTCAGCAGCCGTCACTTTTTTTTTTGTAAATAACTAGCTTTTAAGTCATAACGTTTGTAGTAATGAACAGCAGTAAGTGTTAAAAAATGCATGGAAAACTGTGCAGAGGAAATAAAAAGCCAACGACAACAAATAATAAACATATCCTGCTTCGCCACATATCCTGACAGCTGTGTTGATTTGCACACTTATTTACATACGTGTATGCCTACATACATACATATAAGCATACAAGTGCACTCGCAAGTCGTAGATATATATGTATATATATGTATAATAGTAACCATGGGCAACCTTGAAACGTTTGAGGCTTGTCAATTCGCACTGAAAATTTGCAAATTTTTTGCTTACAATTTTTCACATTAATATTTGTGTATTTTTAATTTAACATTTATTTATTTTAATTCTTTAATTTTAAATTTCCATTCACAATTTTAATTAGCAATTTGTCACTAATTTCGCATACGTTTAGAAAACGTATTTCAAATATTAACGTACGCCGTACTCATGTTTGTATGTATATACATACATATAAATTTTTGAAAATAAATTTTAAATAATTCACTTATTACATAAATAATTTGGAGGAGACCTTTGTCGGACGTACTTTCTATAATTAAATTCTGATTTGTCTTATCTCGAGCACAATTTTTTTCCTCTTTTTTCTTGATTTCTTCTCTTCTTTGTTATTTGCTTCTCAACACTTGAATAAATTCAAAATTAACTTTTATCATGCGCTACTTTCCGAAAACACATCTTTAATTCCACATTGACCGTTCGCTACTAACGTGCCATTAGCGAGTTACTGCTTCTGCTGTACGCCAATCGACGTTTGCTTGCTCACGCGGAGAGCCAACACTGGAGCGCGTGAGCGTAAAGTCGACGAAACGTGAGCAGGCTTCGATTGGACTTAACGAAGAATCTGCGGGAGAGAGGCAGGTAAACAAAAAATATTGTACACTCTTATTAATGTTTTTGTTTTGATTCCAACATTCGAGCCGGTATTTGCAGAGAATGTAAATATAATATAATATTATATTTACATTCTCTGGTTCAAGTGTCGAGATGGCTAAAATGTTGTGGTTATAGTTGTTTTTATTGTTGTCGGGTTAAAAGTGTGATTCAAACGTTCGTAGATGCCTACCTGGCCTGGTGCATACGTACATACGTATATGAAAAATAGTTGATTTGAAACTGTGAAAACAAAAACTTTCTTCAGCGCATTTTGAGAAGAGAATAGGACTAGACAGCAGTTAGTGTAAATCCTACGAAAACATTAGCAAAAACAAACATTCACGTAGTAGGTAGTAAGTAGCTTAATATAAGGGATCACCCATTTTGGGCTTCAAAAATAATCGCAAATAAAATGCATATAAAATAATTGTTTTCTTTAATCCGTTCGCGGTAATTTTCGACTACTTTTTGACATATCATCTTGTTGAAACCACATAATCTCCAAATCCTGTTCTTCAATTGCAGACCTAAAAAGTCAGTTATCATACGAACTGTCAGTCATTTTCAAAGAAATAAGGCCCACTCAGCGCACTACATAGTAAGTGTGCTATAATGTGCCATAAGAAATTCGCAGCTTATGAGAAAGTTCAGAAATAGACCACACTCAGGTCTACGGATGCACTTTCATTTACATTAGGGATATTTGAGGTGGATCGAGCATAACGATCATGCACAGGCCTTAAATTGGCCCGATGTAGACCTTTTCAATTTCTTTAAAGGACGATTTTGTGCACCATAATCTCCTCTTAAGGCCTAAAAAAAGGTGACTTTTAAGAATTTAAATTAAAAAAATACTTTATCAATTATTTCAAAATTTTAAGAATATATTTATATATGTTGCAAGAATATAAAGTCAAATTTTTGAAAAAAAAATTGAATATTTTTTAAGTTATAGCCGATCACCAACGGCGCGAAAAAAAGGTCCTTCACTGTTGCAGTGATTCCGGCCTTCTCCGTGGATGAAGCCTAAAAAAAATTCTTGTAATAATAATATTGTCTGTATAGTGACCTACGATAAAAAAAAAATCAAAAAATTGGCAATATGGCGGCGTTTTAAGAGAAATAGTCGAATTTTACCCAAAACTTTAGTACTTTTTGGCCTGCCAAATTTCGATTTTTTAATAAGATCAAAAATCGGTAGGTCATTATATGGAGAACTATATATACAATAGAACATGTAAAACAAATTCGATAGTGATCGGATCATTTGTTTTTAAGTAATGACTGCAGAAAATTCGGAAAATGTTGTTTCGAGAAAAACGCGTTTAAAGAAAAAATTATCGTTTTCACTCGTAGCTTATGAGACTTTCTAGCGGCCGAGCGGCTGCTCTTTAAATTGCTATAACTCAAAAACTATTTGAGATATCGATTTGAAATTTTAATATGTTATTTTTAAAAATGTATTCTACCGAAATACGAAAATAGGGTCAATTTTTTTTTTTTTTTGAATTTTCACAATAGGTGTGCCCCGCACGAAACGTGGCCACGCTTGAATAATCAATTTTAAAACACGTTGTGCAGTTGCTCAGCAACCAATTTCATAAATGCTTGAGTTTTTACTAAAGCAAAACATGTTTGGTAAAACAGTTAAGTTTGACAGATGTCAGCCCTGTATTTTTGAAACCACGAAATGCATAACCCTATGTATAATATTTTCACTTTTGATGGATATTTTTATATGCACCAGGATCTTAATAACAGAAATTCTTGTTCAAAGAGTGATATTTTTCGCACTATAAACTGAAGATGTTTAAAGAGGTTGTGTCTCAGAAGAAGAATGAATTCTAATTAAAAAACAAATAACTTTTTCACTCTCACACACTTGGTCAAAGAGCTCTAAGCAGAGAAAAAAGTCACTTCCTGTACAGCAATGTACTTAACACCCGATTGAACTCACTTGCAATGCGTCCATTCTCAGTTAAGAGTGTGTAAGCAGATATTTGTTACAGAGTTGCCCTATTTATTACACAACTTAATGAAGAATCTCCAGAGCTTTGTTGTAAACTGAGCTTGTGCTAACTGCGTAAAGTATTGAATTTCAACAAGCGCTTATCATGAGAACAGAACAACAACCATTCGTTTTTCTTGCGTGATTCACTTAAGTTGAGACGGAAAGTCAAACAGCAAAAACTTTCGTTCGATTATTTGTAATTTTGGGGGTTTTTTTCATTCAGAAAATTATCAATTTTCTGCACATACCTCTGAGTAAGGCGAGCTTGTGAAGCTGGCAGACGGAGTCGACTTACAGAAGGTTTCAAGATCATAGCATACTCACGGGGGATCCCAAGAGATGATCACTGAGCTCATGATGAGAACACTTCTTCTTCTGCTGAATAGGAACGGAAGCGATGGTGATAGGTGATGGTGAACCCTAATCTTGGATATATATCTGAGCAGCAAAGAATTGAATATGCGCCTTTATCGCTCTCTTTGCAAAATTTTATCGGATGAGTGCATGCCCGAATAAGTCTTCTCAATATCGCATATAAAATTCTGTCTCTAAAGCCCACCGTCCACAAACTAAGTGGCTTTAAATCAGGTAGATGCACCATAGCCCAGATATTTTCCACGCATCGAATCATGGCACTGAGCACCGTTAATAGGCAAGATCGGAAAAGATCAGAGCCGCTCGCTATATAAAAGCTTAATGACTTAAATGGTCTCACCTATCTCACTGCTATATTCATACTGGATAAGACAGCAAGGTAAATGGGCCTGGTAGCGTACGAAGACAAGAAGAAGTATCTCCAGTCATCAAACAAACAGTTATCGCTCCCACATAACTGTTGAGAGTCATAATTTTGAAGCCGATGATTGGAGCCATCATTAACACTGACAAAAATGTAAGCCTAGAAATCCCACGCAGGATCACGCTTGCCAACAAGTGCAACTTTGGACTAAATAGGCAATTAAAAGTAGTGTACTCTTCAGTATACAGGTTGAAAAAGTGACCAGTTTGAGAACAAAGCAACCAGCTCGTTCACTGTTTGACTGAGGCAGCTGACTCGGGAATGAGCAGTATTCGTATCTTCGTGGAAGGCACTTTTAACTGTTTGTGGACTGGAGCACGTTGAAGATACTTGAAATATTAAAAAATAAAATAAACGCATTTAATTCAAATCAATTCTCGCAGTCATAAATCATCAAAAATAACCACTCCAGGTCAATTGACTTCCTCCTTAGATTTCATTAATAACACAGATTTCCATGGAACTCATCAAATTTGAATTCCCTCTTGGTTTCTTTCACAGCAAAGACGAAGACCAGCGTTAACCGACAGCAGATTATCTTTGCAATGGATGACTGCGTCACCGGCAGGCCGCAAATAAGAAGTAAACGTCACCAAACGACACTACCCGCGAGCCGTGCCATCGCAGAGATCCTACTGTTGCTGCTGATGCTGCTGGTGGTCATCACGCCAATCAAACGAGTATACAAATATTAATTTCTAATGATGATGCATGATCGCCGGCGGTGACACGTTAACGAGGCAGCAGCAACAAATTTACAGAAAGACAACATTTTATTAGGAAATAAGCGCGTGTTGCACACGTTGCAAGTATGCCTCGCTGCTTATAAATCAATAAAAAGCGAGATCGCCACAAACGAGCTGAAATGATGTATGCGGCTGGGCAGCGAAATTATCGCTAACTGGCGACCGATGAGTGCCACATGCCACCAAAGTGGCAACTGTGTCGCCAGTACAATGCATGCCTCACAACCTCTCATCTCTGGGGAGACATTAGAAATCGCTGCTGCCAGTGCTGCCTGCAACTGCGGCTATCGGCAAAACACGCCGGCTCATCGGTGGTTCGCCGCTCGCTCGTTGGCTGCCATTAAGCTATTTTCACTCTTCTTACCTTTCTGATAGTTACACTACCTACTGTTGTTGTTGCTGCTGTTGTCAGCTTATTATTAATTTATGCATTTGCCAACTGCACGTGCGCGCCTAAGCGACAGATAGCCGAGGGATTGTGCCTGCCGTGACAACATCGTTTTTGATTAAAGATGCATGAAGATGAAGCTTTTTAGATGTTGTTGCTGCAATTGACACCGGTATGATGGAAACCACTACGCAGCCATGTTTATGGATGAGCCACATGCAGCTTGCAACAAGCGCTGAGTTGCACATACAAAATTAGGCAATTGGAAATCTTTCACGCTTCGTCGTTAATAAATAAATGCCTTCGTCCCCATAATTATATATTTTTGTGTATATTTGTTTGTGCTGATCTTTATCGGCGCTTTTGATTACGTAAACTGCTTTTTATATCATAAAAAGGCAAAACGTGGCTAAACAGCTGGTTCTGCTCATGACCTGCCCCGGGTCGAGTCACTTTTCGGTTGAATGCAAAAAAGTAAGTAATAAGGAAGTACGGAGACTAAGGATCTAAAAGACTGAGTAAACTAAGTTTGCGGAAAAGAACCGAAGTAGACGTAATTCCTGATAGATCTTCCAAGCCTCCGAAGAAGTGATAATTAGGGTTTTGCTTCCTCTGCTAAAGGTTGGAAGTAATTTCATTAGGAATAAAAATAAATTTCCACCGCATTTTGTTTAAACAAGATAATATTTATTATTTCTGCACCGTAGTTTACATTTTACCCCTATTTCAGGCAGCGTACGGATCCCACGAGGGAAGATCTCTTGATCTGTAGGTGAACTGCTGCTTCGACAGAGAATGAGCCGCTGATCGGGAGCAGGTGATCGCTGTGTACTGTACTTTGTCGTATCTGGAGTGATATTGGGGGCTTTCTTTTCCTTCAG